ATCATAGATAAGAAGGTTAGGATGTAAATTCAGTCTGTAGTCTGCCATGGACAAGTTTGTAGTTGCTGTCTTGTTTGAGCGACATTTCCGATCACGAGAATTTATTGAATAAGCGCTAGGGTATGTAGCACCCATGTGTGAGGTTTCCGATAATTTATTAATTTTTCTTATAATTATTTTTTAGTGAAATGGCTTCATGTGGCTGGAAAGAAAACTGGGAAAAACGTCGTCCGTTGACACAAGCTGAACTGGAAAGGGAAGCTGAACATTTATTTGATAATGAAAACAACGAGGATGATGGTGACAATACCTTTGGTACCGATTCTGAATCTGAGGAGGATTATGTCGAAGAACAAAACTCCAATACCGACACTGATGAAAGTGAACAAAGTGATAGTGAAACAGATCATGAACCAGTGAGAAATGTTGCAAGTTTACTTGGAAAAAACGGACATCGTTGGTCTACAGAACAGCCCTCAAGGCGTGGTCGTACAACAGCCGCAAATCTTGTTATACGTTTACCGGGCGGCAAAGGAAATGCCAGGGTACTTCAGTCTCCTGAAGAAACCTGGAACTTACTATTTAATGAAGAAATGTTAGATATTATCGTTCTTTTTACAAATGAAGAAATCGTTCGCAAACGTGAAAGTATCACAGCGCAAAGTTACACCAAATTGACGAATAAAATAGAGGTTAAAGCCTTCATTGGGTTATTGTTCATATCTAGTGCATTACGTGTTTCTAACTCTAGTGTTGATGAACTTTGGTCCCTACAATTTGAAAATGGAATATTTCGTGCTACGATGTCGCAGCAGAGGTTTGCATTTCTAGCTGTATGCCTAAAGTCCGTTTTACAGCTTGCAATTTTACCTGCAAGATGCAAGAAAGTTGCCCAAAAGCATGCGCAGTATGTGGTCAGCTGATTATTGCCTGCAACTTATTGCAGTTGCGCGATAATCGGTTTGGTGCCATTTCCTGTGCAAGTTTTCATGCAAGTCTAGGGGAATTTGTAGGAAGTTTGATTTTTTCACAACGTCAAATGTCATAATCACTGATTGACACGGAGACATGCCGATCAGCTGTTTCCTGTTTTGTTTATTATTTCCTTTCCCACACATTTGTATTTACCTTGGCTTGATTTGTAGATTATCGGCTTTTTCTAATTTTAATATTTTTAATTAATACGTTAGAGTATCATCAAAAATTGAACTATCTTCTGCCTGAAGTACCAACAATGTCTTGCATAGTCTTGACATTACGAAATTTACTATCTATCTATCTAAATCAATCTATCTATTGAAATTAATTCTAAAGATATCATTCTAAATTCTAATCTAAATCTATCGAAATTAATTCAATCTATCTATCAAACTAAATCGACTAAAGTGTTTTAAATAAACAAGTAATTAAAAAAAAATCATAAATAAGTTAGATTAAGAGTAAAAATTTCAACATTAATTGCAAGCTGTAAAGTCGCACATAAAGACCCTGCAATAAATTGCATTAAAGTTAGTCATGCAAGAAGTTGCAGCAAGTTTTCTTGCAAGCTGTAAAGCGGTCTTAAGGTTTGATGATAAAAATACAAGAGCAACAAGAAAAGCAGCGAATAAATTTGCACCCATACGCGAATTATGGGAAATCTTTATAAGCAACTGTACATCATACTACACCCCTTTTCAGCATTGTACTATCGATGAACAGCTCGTAGGATTCAAGGGGAAATGCCCATTTAAAATCTATATGAGTAGTAAGCCCGACAAATATGGAATAAAGATAATGATGATGAATGACTCTAAAACATTTTATATGGTTATCGCTATTCCATATATTGGAAAAGTCCAAACCCAGGATAAGGAGTCAGTACCAGCTTTTTACGTTCGGAAATTGTCGGAACCAATACATGGAACCAACAGAAATATAACAGTAGATAATTGGTTTACTTCAATACCTCTTGCTGATGAAATGATGAGACAATTCAAACTAACTATCTTGGGTACATTAAGAAAAAATAAACGAGAAATTCCACCGTCTTTTCTCACTAAAAAAGAAGTAGGTACATCATTATTTGCATTCGACGAAAATAAAACTATCATCTCATACACTCCAAATCACAAAAAGTGGTTCTCTTGCTGTCAACATTACATCATGATAATTCATTAAATGCTGATACAGGAAAACCAAACCTTATACACACCTATAATGAATCAAAAGGAGGCATAGATACGTTCGATCAATTATGCCATTTTTATACTACATCACGAAAATGCAGACGATGGCCACTAAGAATTTTTTTAACATGCAAGTGGCATAAATGCAATGGTGCTATTTTCTCTCACAAATACCCATTGGAAAGAAACTGCATCTAATAATAGAAAATCTTTTCTGAAGTCTTTGGGAATGGCTTTAATTGAACCACTAATGCGAGAGAGACTTCAAATACCTTCTTTACCGAAATCACTCATCTCAATTCGTGGCATTCTCCAAGTTGAAGACCTTCCAACACAATATCCCATAAGTTTAGTGAAGCAAACTAGGTGTTATCTCTGCAAAGGAAAAGATAGAAAAATGAAGCATGCATGCTCGGCTTGCCATAAAGCATACTGCATGGAGCATAGAGCTAAACTGCAGTGAATGCAGTCACCAAAATGAGTGAAATTGAAATCCCTGGCTAAGAATGACTATGAGTTCTATAATCAAAAGGTGTTAGATTTTAGTTAGAAAGACCATTTTGTTGTTATATTAAGGTAAAATATTTTGAATTAGGTTTCTGGTTTTAGAAAATGTTTGAAAATATTTTTAAACATTTTTAATATTTTTTTTTCTTTTGTATTACTACAATTAAGAGAGAGAAAATAAAATATTGATTTAATGATTCATAATAATAATAATCATAAAATATTTACTTTTTTATTTATTTCTTCACAAAAAATCAATGGGTATCTGATACCCATATGTGAGGTGTATGTCAAAAAAAAATAGGTGTGATATTACAGGGCTAATTTCATATTCAAGAGCTTTAACAATTCAGCTGTGTATTATTTTCTAAAATCTTTTTAAGTGTGTGACTCATTAAGCTATTGTTCTGTGATCTGAGCAAGATATTGCACTTGACTTTTTGGGTCACAAAGCAAGTGGTCTTGCACTTGCTTTATAAATTCTTAACTTCATCTCAGTATTAAGATGTCGGTTTCGGTATATAGTGTTATTAAGACATCCTACCCGTCTGTTTGCTTTTTGTGGGTACTTAATCTCTCACTTCTTTGTTCAGGTCTCCATAGCTGGACAGTGTAATTACAAAGTATTTTATTTCCATACTTGTTTAATACTAATAAAATGGATTTATAGCTTACATCTGATTGGTTTTTTGCTGATTACTATTGTTTTAGATTTCTGTGTTGAGATTGCCATATCAAATTCTTTTGAATGGCTCTTTGAACAACACAACGAACGTACACCTAGCAAATGGGCGGTATGTTATTGGCTAGGATCATCTTGCACTAAAGTCACGACGGATCATGCAGCATCCGTTGGTGTTAATGTCATTTTGTTACAGGTAAAAAATTTGAAGTCAAAACCTTTTAATATAAAATTGGTCTGGTTGTTTTTAATTTTTTTTGTAAGAAATGCCATAAAAAATTAAAAATGTAAGTATAAAAATGAATACCTGTACTTATATGACTGTTTCTCCAAACTTCTATATGCCATATAACAAGCCCTAAATTTTAAAACTAACAATAAATGGGAAATGTTATGGATCAATTTTTTTGCACCTGAGTGTATGTTAAATTAAATAGGTCACATTAGAGTCTTTACAATTTATTTTATGCCACATCCGAATAAATGTCTTTATTGGTACCAGATTTGAATTTTGAATAGTAATTTACGTAACCAGTTTCGAAAGTGATATTTTACGAGACGAGTAGGAAGTTTACAGGGCAAGCCGTAGGCGAGTCCTGGAATCCTGCGAGTCTCGTAAGATTACTTTTGGATCGTGTTACGTACAATATTTTTTCTACAGCCGTTTTGTATGTTATAAAGAATATATGGATAAACTTTACTTACGAACTTTCATTAAACACGTTAAAGTAACTCTCGTGATTTCAACGTTAGAAGAATCTACTTACGAATATTAATAACACAATTATAACAATTATTTACATTGATATTGTTAGGAATATTAACAAAAGTGGCAGTATTGAAATTAGTGTTAGACGTGTCAGTACTTTTACTACTTTCTGAGATATTAACTTGGTTGCGGCCATTTTCAATCTGTGAAGCTATTTGAATTTTATTTCTTAAATAATTTTCTACGTATCCCTCTGCTACATTAATTGATTTCCATCCTCCGTGTCTGGAATCATTTCGGCTTCATTTTCACTGCTGATTTCCATTTCTTGGAATTGAAAAACGAAAAATTGAGCGAAAGCATACGAATCTTAAATGATAAGCGTCGTCATAATAAAATCTAAAGTTAATGTTATTGCCAAAGCCGTTACGTAGCTACCCAAAATCGTCCCGAAAGTGAAAAAATTAGTCCCGAAAGTAGCTACTTTGTGTAAAAGGAGTTGTGTAAAATGATACTTTCGATTTAATAAATCAAACCGAAAGTTTTATTTTCGGGACGGCAGCATAAAAATATATTTATTGGATGTCAAACAATTGAGTTATGACACTGACATAGAATAAGAAACAATCAGAATGCCCACTCTCAGATGCCGCCTTTGAAGTTTTTCAGCACGTAATCGCCATGTTTTAGAAGGAAACACAGAACACAGACTCGGATTGAGAATAACATTTGATGTAATTGGTCTTTATCGACATATGATTTGTGAGGTTATGTAATTGTTTATTGCAGATTGGCGCCGGTTTTATAGTCCAAGTTTACAAAAATAATTTTAATCTAAAACTTTTTCATTTAAATTGTTTTAAAAATCTGTTCGTCAGAACACTTATCTGTAGTTGCATCTTTCCTTCATATGATATCTTTATATTATTTTTAGGGATTAGCAACACGTCAATGTTTAAAAAATGGTACCTGGTTTGTACCACCTGGACACAGATTTCCATTTTCGAATATTTCTCAATGTGGAATGTTTTTTATAACTACAAATAAAACAACATTATCTCCACCAATTAGTGATTTGGATATATTTTACTCAGAATGGATACCGCGAATCAAAGGAATATCATATTGCGGCTACACGTTATCTATAATATCGTTGATATTGTCTATATGTATCTTTATTAGTATCAAGTAAGTAGATTTTACATTGAACCAATATCATAACTACATACCTAGTTCTCAATAAGGAAAGAGAAGCTAAAGATGATTAGACTGTTATATCACACGTCACATAAGACGTACGTTTAGATTTGACACTTATTCATATTTGACAGTACTCAATTTAAAAAATTTTATTAAAAAAAATATACTTGGGGCAATTTGTAATTTTTCTAAAGTGAAAACTTTTTTAGCGACGTTGTGCACTTTTTGGATGGGGAAAAAGTATTGAATACGTTACATAATAGGGGTGGGGATAACGATTAAATTAAGATAAATAAAAAAACAAACAATGCAACTACCAAAAGGGCACTATACAGTATTTTAATTATTAAAGATACCATAGATCACTATGGATGAAAATAGATTTACTATAAGACAAATTTTAATTTAACATATTGTTAAGAACATGCATTCGGCGTGACTCGTGTAAAAGTTGCATCTCGAAGCATCTCAGGCATCGAGAACCATCCATAGATCTCTCGAACGCAAGAGAACAATCCGTCACGTATTTGACTGAATTAGAATTAGAGGTGAGAATGTTCTAGAACATAGTAACTTTGGTATATATATGTAACGATGTTATGAGTTAGTTTAGTTAATAAGAGAGCAACGAACTGTAAATTTATAAATAAATATATTTATATAAATTCGAACCGCTAGTTTTATCTAATCACGCTACAGTTGGTGTCCAGTGTGAGATTTCAACATGAATTTAGCAGTGACTTTTGAAAAAGACTTTTAAAACTTTTGAAAAGTATTGTTCGTAGGGAACATCCGCGTCGTTTGGTAGTGATCTCTGTACGAAAGAACATTTAAAAAGTACGTGTGCCTGATCAAAGATGCTGCTAGTAGAACTGTCAGTAAAACAGTTGCGTGAGCAACTAGAAGAACGCGATGAAGACTGCAGGGGGTCCAAGAAGATTCTCCAAGAACGACTGAAGACTGTTCTCAACAAGAATGGAGACGACCCAGAGACATTCCAGTTTCAATCAGCAGAAGAAGCAGTTTTAACGAAAATAATTGATGGAAAATTTGAGAATGTCTCACAAATGATCGAAGAGAATTATCAAAAAAAAATGATAATAAATTTGAAAATGTGTCGCAAATGATTTTTGAAGAAACTTCTAAAAAAATTGAAGAATCTTCTAGGAAAAATAATGATAAATTAGAGAATGTTTCCAAAAGATTCGATGAAACATTCGAAAAGGTATCTAGAAGATTCGACGAGACTTCTCAAATAATTAAAGAAACATGTATTCAAAATTATGAGAAATTTGAAGAAGTCTCAAGAACATTCGATAAGATACAGAAAAATGTAAACGACAAGATAGAAGACATAGAAGAGAAGATCAAACAATTAGAGACCATGATAACTAACACGGATGTGCTACGTCTAGTTAATACAGTAGCCCTAGACCCGGTAGTAAAAGAAGAATCACCTAGAGACGAAATGACACATCATATGAGATTTAAATTGCCACCATTTGATGGAAAGTCCTCATGGTCCATATATCTTAGACAATTTGAAGCTATTGCGACAGCCAATCATTGGACAGAACAAGAAAAAGCTGTTTCGTTAACTGCTGCTTTACGAGGTGATGCTGTGGATATCCTAAGATCGATTCCTAAGGGTCAAGAAAAATGTTACCAGACCTTGTTCACTCGACTAGACAAACGTTATGGAGATGCCCATCTACAACAAGTCTATAAGGCGCAAAGAAAATTTGCAAGAGTTTGAAGCAGATGTTGCTCATATAGTGCGGTTGGCTTATCCGGAGGTACCAGACAACATTTTGGAAGAAATTGCTGTAGATACCTTCGTCAATGGGATAAAAGAAAGTGAATTACAGAAAGCTTTACGACTAGCAAGACCGAAAGTTCTAGATGAAGCGCTCGCTATTGCTTTGGAACATGAAACAGCTAGTCAAACTTCACGGAGTCATCGAGTAAGAACCATTGAAGAAGGCGACGAACCAAACGATGAACGTCTGGAAGAAATTGTACGAAAAGTAGTTCGTAACACGATGCCGAAGAGACGCGAGCCCAGATGTTGGAATTGTAGTGACGTAGGTCACATTCGCCGTAATTTCAAGAAAATGATACAACAGTCGAAAAACTAGAACGGGTCGACACCAAGGGGCAACTGCCGACCTCGAGAAACACAGCCCCCATAGTAACTGTGAACATTACGTCCTCCGGTGGAATTCATAGCTTGTACATCGAGGGTCGTATTAATAATAAATGTAGATCGTTTTTGGTAGATACAGGTGCAACAAGAACTATTGCAAGGCCAGTAGTAGTACGAGACCATCTTAAATTATCGCCTGCAACAGTAAAGCTTAGAACAGCAACTGGTGAGATAATTAATACATATGGCGAGGCTAATATGTCAGTATCCATTGTTAATTGCAGAGATCTCCGACGAGTTCATATTGGGGATGGATTTACTAAGGAAAGTTGGGGCTGTTTTGAATGTCAAAGATGGAGTTCTCAAGATCAGTGGTGAAGAGTTGCTGTTTCATAAAGAGAAAGAAGAATACCCGGTAATAGTAAGACAATTTTAATGACCAGACCTGATGGTTACTGCCGGAAGGGAAGTTTAAGGATGGTCGAAGATGTAAACAATGCCGAGTTCCAAACGGCAAAAGCTTTGGTGAGAATTCGAGATGTCGTTCCTGTAAGAGTTATGAATTTAAAGGGAACTGCTATTAAGTTAAGTAAAAGAACTTTGATCGGACAGAGTGTTACCGTGGCTTCGATTTGTTCCATGAATACTAATGAGAAACCGTCAAAATCTAAGTATCCAAAGGAGCTTGTTGAGACGATGATTAAAACGTGCCAAGATCTTGATGATGAACGAACTAAAAAAGTGAAGTCTATGCTGATAGAATTTCGAGATGTTTTCGCCATTGATAAGAAGGATAATGGCAAAACAAGCAGCATAAAAGTAATCCATAATAAGTGGACGCTCAGCCAATCAGACAACAACCTAGACGACTTCCATTTGCGAAAAGAGATGAAGCCGAAGACATCATCAGAGATATGAACAAACAAGGGGTAATTGAACCATCAAACAGTCCATGGACATCACCAGTAGTACTAGTAAAGAAGAAAGATGGTTTAACACGTTTTTGTATTGACTACCGAAAGCTCAATGCGGTAACTAAAAAAGATAGTTATCCTTTGCCCAGAATAGACGATACTTTGGATACACTTTCTGGTTTTCGTTGGTTCTCCACACTCGATCTGAAAAGTGGATATTGGCAAGTAGACATGGAGCCAGCTGATAGTGAGAAAACCGCATTCTCGATAGGATCAGTGCTTTGGCAGTTCACAGTTATGCCCTTTGGTTTATGTAATGCCCCGGTCACATTTGAAAGAAGAATGGAGGCAGTTTTAAGAGGTCTAACATGGAAAACATGCCTGGTTTATTTGGATGATATAATTATAGTTGGAAGATCCTTCCATGAACATGCCAATAATCTGACAGAAGTGTTTCAACGATTGCGGGCAGCGAATTTGAAGTTGAGTCCCAAGAAATGTCACTTGTTTCGACGAGAAGTGAAGTACTTGGGACATATTGTAGCAAGTAATGGTGTAACAGCTGATCCTGAAAAACTTGCAGCAATTAAGGATTGGCCAGTACCAAGAGATAAACACGAAATTAGAAGTTTTCTTGGCCTATGTACATATTACCGACGTTTTGTCAAAGGATTTGCCAACATCTCCAAGCCATTAATAAAGTTGACAGAAGAAGGCAAAGAGTATACATGAAGCGAAGAGTGTCAAAAAGCTTTCGAACACTTACAAATGGCTCTGATCAGCGCACCAATTTTAAGCTACCCTAGACAGACAGGAAAGTTTGTGTTGGACACCGATGCAAGCAACAGTGCAATAGAAGCTGTTCTCTCCCAAATCCAAGATGGGCAGAAAAAAGTCATCGCTTACTTTAGCAAAGTCTTGTCGAAACCAGAGAGAAACTATTGCGTTACCAGGAGAGAATTGCTAGGCGTAGTAAAGGCTTACGAGCACTTGTATGGCAGAAAGATTCTTCTTCGCACGGATCATGCTGCTCTAAAATGGCTCCTACAATTTCGTAATCCAGAGGGCCAGATGGCAAGATGGTTAAAACGATTACAAGAATATGATTACGAGATCGAACACAGGACTGGAAGAGTTCATTTAAATGCTGATGCGCTTTCGAGACGGCCGTGCAGTGAAAATTTTATTCACTGTCTTAAATTAGAAGAAAGAATTTGCCCCGTGAGACGAACCACCGTCATTAATGATCAATGGCAGCCACAACAGCTACAAGGCGCTCAAGCAGATGATGCATGTATAAAAAGAGTATTGAATTGGATGCGTCAAAGTGAAAGGCCTTCTTTCTTGGCAAGACATTAGTGCATATAGTCCTGAAGTCAAGTGTTACTGGAGCCAATGGAATTGCCTGGTGCTAAAAGATGATCTTCTTTATAGAACCTTTGAGAACGATGATGGTACAGAATCTAAGCTTCAGTTGATTGTACCTAAAAGTAAAGTATCAGAAGTATTGCGTCAGTTACATGACGGTGCATCAGGTGGACACTTTGGTATTACGAAGACTCTGCAAAAGGTTCGAGAACGGTTCTATTGGGTGAACTGTAAAGAAGATGTAAGAAGATGGTGCCGGAAATGTGAATTGTGTGCAACCAGTAATTGTCCAGTTGGTAAAAAGAGGGCACCCATGAAACAGTACAATGTTGGTAGTCCTATGGAAAGAGTAGCAATCGACATTGCAGGTCCACCTTCAGAGACGAATGATGGAAATAAATATATCTTAGTAGTTATGGATTATTTTACGAAATGGACTGAGGCCTATGCGATACCAAATCAAGAAGCTGCTATCGTTGCAGAGGTATTGGTTAAAGAATTCTTTAGCCGATTTGGTGTTCCCTTGGAGATCCACTCCGACCAAGAGCGAAACTTTGAGT